ATATGTTGGGATGTCACAAATGGACTTAGCCCACAGAGATTTATATTCAAGTTTGACCAGAGAGTTCCATTTTAATGTGACACTGAGCGTAAAAAAAACTGCCTTTTCCTTTTTATCTATTTGTCTTCCTACATTCTCTGACAGGAGAAAGGTACAACTCTGTACCCGGTCTTCCCCAACAGAGCCCGAGCAGCCCTGTTTTTCCCTCTACTTTGCTGCTTTCACATCTCATGAGTAAGTACTTCCTATTCTGTCTCCTTAATAATCACAAAATTTTTTCCTCCACTTTTGTCACTGCCACTGCCTTTTGCATCAGTCTTCCTTTAGATAGTCTCTTAATTGGTCTGTTGCTTTCTTCAGTCCTTCCTTATTATACAGACCACTACACCCACATCTGAAAGAGACTCCTCAACTTTGTATGGTTTAATGACTCAAATTTTCAGAATAAAATTAAAACCACCGCAGTGTCAAATTTGAGGTGGGTTTGTATCTCAGATTCCTACACTGTCCAGTAGTGTGATCTCAGAAAACAACTTCGTAAGCCTTTGTTTGTGTATCTGCCTACCCTCATTGAAATTTTGGACTGTTTTACACATACAGTGTCTGGCATGTAGAAGGGACTTCATCAATGTTGAATGAAGAGGAGGCATTTTAAAGTTCACATTAAAAAAATCATTTAAAAAAAAATGCCAGTCTATAATATCACTTCCCTTCCAAGGTTGGCTTCTACCTGTACTTTCTGATACAGTTTGGTCATGTCCCCACCCAAATCTCATCTTGAATTGTAATCTCCAAAACCCCCACATGTTGAGGGAGGGACTCTGTGGGAGGTAATTGGATCATGGGGGCGGTTTCCCACATGCTGTTTTTGTGATAGTGAGTTCTCATGAGATCTGATGGTTTTATATGTGTTTGACAGTTCCTCCTTCACATGCTCACACTCTTTGGCCTGCCGCCTTGTAAGAAGTAACTGCTTCCCCTTCTGCTAGGATTGTAAGTTTCCTCCGTCCTCCACAGCCATGTGGAATGTGAGTCAATTAAATTTCTTTGCTTTATAAATTGCCCAACCTAAAATATTTCTCTATAGCAGTGTGAAAATGGAATACTGCACTTTCTGATAATCACACTTGAGGAATTGGGGAATTCATACTACCTGAGATCAAATAATGGCCTCAGGCTGGGCAGTCATGTGACCTTGGGGAGATAACTTACCTTCTCCATCTTAGTGTCTTCTCTAAAACTGGTGAGATTGTTTCTGAGGGCTAAATGAGCATAGCCCACTTGGAACACTGTCAGGCACATACTGCTTGCTAGGTGTTCAGTATTCATTTTTTTTTTAACATGTTCTAATCCAATGCAAAGAAACTAAGAACCTTGCAGTATTCATTTTTATTGAGTTAGCACTGTGGTAACCCACCTTATGGCTCTTGATTTTGTGTAACAAAGTCATGCTTAGTGCTTTGTTAGTAAAAGAGAGAAAATCTAAAAGTCCCTGCCATGGAAGGAAGAAACAGGAGAAAAGGAAGTTGGTAAGTTTCAGTACTTTAGAGCTTGGGGGGACAAGTTAGGTTTCTATTTAATGGAGAAGGAGGTGGAGGCAGGATGGATTATAAGGTGTCATTCAAGACACCATAAGTCTTTAGTGAGAGTAGAGCTAGGGCCCCAGGGATTGCTGTGGACAAGTTGCAGACAAAAACTATCACTCATTGGAAGACAGGAGAGGAATATTTCAGGTGTATCTACATTGAGTCAACAAATAAAAGTTCAACTTGGTTGCTAATGGGACCCACTCTGCTAACTGCCACTTTGTATAGAACTCCTAGAGGAAGATGGCTTCCAGTAATGAACCACCCTGTTTTTAGGACTAAAAAGCTCAGGAAGCTGGCGGGTGATAAATGGAAAACTTAGTTCCACTGGCACTGAAGGAGGGGCCAGGAGAGCAGTGGCATCATAAGCCACAGGGTGGGGCAGCCCGGGCAGTGGGGGAGGGGTGGCAGCCAGGGTGGGGCATTGTGAGGTGTGGGGTGGGGCAATGTGAGTCACGTGCCTGGGATTCCACTGTGGCCAGTGGGCTTCAGTCTGTAGGTGACTGCAGAGGGAGTACCTCCTTTTGAACTCTCTTCCAGCAGTTGTATCACTTGGCGCTTGTTGGGTTCCCAACCTATTAAATTAGCCAGCTGTTTGTGACCCTCCCAGACAAGTCAACTTAGGAGAGGCGGCGGGGTGCGGGCCTTGGGCCCGGCCCTAGCCGGGGCGTGGTGTGGGCAGGTGAGCAGCGGGCAAGGCCATCTCTGAAAGTGCGGCACAGCCTCGGCCTAGGGCAGCAGGAGTGCCTGACCAACACTGAGTGGAGGCACAGGTGGCGGCAGACAGGAGTAGAGGTGCCCCATGGGGAACAAACTGTGCTGCTGTGTGTGCCCCATTTCGGACGATGATGAGGTGTCAGGGTGTCCTCCAGAGTGTAAAATCTGTGAAGCAACAGCTGAGGACACGACAGCAGCAGCGCCCACGGCTGCTGCCATAGAACCTACCGAGTTGACTGTTGAAGCTGGTGAGGACCTTCCTGTGCATGACATCTGTGATGGGGAGATGCCCGAAGGTAAGGAGGTGATGGTGCCATATGCCCTGGCCACCCCTTTGGCTGCTGCTGTCTTCAAGGTCCCCTGGGGGCCATTCCCTACCCCAGGCTCCTTTTTGCCTGTAGCCAGCTTTTCCAGGGCTGGTCAGAAACATAGGCTTACTCTGCCTTGTGTTCCTTTTTCAACCACTTAGTCTTTCTCCACGGAGTCCAGTCAATTTTTCTCCTCTTCTCCCAAACACCCAGTTCTTGCTCCCTCATTCTCTCAGGCTGGCCTGGGACCATTTATTTATGTCTCTTCTTGTCTGTAGCTCTGTTTATTATTCTGTGGGATTTTGTTGAGGATTTTATTGAAATAACTCTTCCTTTTTTCAATAAAAACTCAAATACACCAACTTTCTAGTAGCCATCTCATTCTTTTTTGTACCTATCCAGATGGTACCTAAGTGAAGGAACCAGGTAAGTGCCTAATTATTTCCTTCATTAAAGTAGCTAAATCTCAGGACAATTCATGCTGAAATATTTGGGGATTTCTTTTTTGAAATCAGTATGAAGTTGCCATGGGAGAGATGATAGGATATTCTTTATTTTTATTTTTGAGATGGAGTTTCACTCTTGTTACCCAGGCTGGAGTGCAACGATGCAATCTTGGCTCACCACAACCTCCGCCTCCTGGGTTCAGGCAATTCTGCCTCAGCCTCCTGAGTAGCTGGGATTACAGGCGCGCACCACCACACCCGGCTAATTTTTTGTATTTTTCGTAGAGATGGGGTTTCACCATCTTGACCAGGATGGTCTCGATCTCTTACCTTGATAGGTGCTTATTTTTTTCTAACTGTAATTTGAATGCAAAAGGAAAGAAAATGGGAGGGTGCTTAAATAATTGTGAAAGGTATGAAATTTCATGGCCAGGGCTGCAGAAAAATGGGTGTTTGTTTTCCTCCAAAGGAGTTTGCCTGTGAGGCTCTGATGAGTTTAAAATTCTTACTTTAACACAAAATGTGTCTCTAGATTTATTCTGGTGACTTAACAGACTTTATTTACCTCCTTGTTCTAAAAGAGAGGTACGGATGGTTCGTGGTCAAAACTTTCAAAAGACATGAAACGTCAATGTAGACTTAACATGTAACATAAATATTGAAGGTTAAAACTGTGGAAGAGTGTTTGCTGCCATGGCTCCCTGTTAGTCATTCCCCCACCTAACAATAGCATTTTGTTTAAAGATAAGAAAGTAAAGCATAAGAAGCTGGAAGCCATCGTTTTCAGCAAACACACACAGGAACAAAAACTAAACCCCACATATTCTCTGTCGTAAGTGTTAGTTGAGAACACATGGCCACAGGGAGGGGAACATCACACACTGGGGTTCATTGTTGGGTGGGGTGTAAGGGGACAGAGAACATTAGATCAAATACCTAATGCATGTGGGGTTAAAAAACCTTGAAGATGTGTTTATAGGTGCAGCAAACCACCAGGGTACATGTGTACATATCTAACAAGGCTGCACGTTCTGCACATGTATCTCAGAACTTAAAGTAAAAAAAAAAAACCAACATTGGTTGGGCTCTTAGTTTTTTCCAGAGGTAGAATAATTAACATTCATGATGAATGTGACATTGTAACTTGGAGTACTATACTGACTTTTCAAGATGTTTAAGAATTTTGAATAAACAAATATATTATGTGAATTGATTATACCTTTATACACAAAATGTGTAAGTACTTGTGTAAACTTATACTCTGGTTGCTGGTGTAAGGAAAGCCTGTGAATGATTTTACACAACAGTTTATAGATGGGTAGTGCTGGATTAGAGAACAAAAAAGGCTCTTTATTGCTATTCTTTAGGATTACAATACAGTTTATGTATGTCTCTTTTGGCCCCTTCCAATACAAAGAAGGCTTGTGTATGTTCTCCCTATGTATTCCTAATGAAGAAATGAAGACAGAGATCTCACATGACTATGGAAGACAGCTGCTCAACAGAGCTAATATTCTGTGTCTTCAGAATGTTGTGGAAGTGACAAATATGCTGAATTTACTTTTTAAAAAATTTTAAACTCCAGAATACATCTTATACTTTGTCTATAAAATAGACCTCACTTTTAAAATGTATTGCCATCTTGATTTATTTTATGCAAAGTTGATTTTACACAATTTAAAGGGAACATTTACCTCTTTCTTTTTAAATAAAAAAAGAGTCTCACTATGTCACTCATGCTGGCCTAAATTCCAGACTTGGGTTTGAGGGATTTTCTTATGTCATCCTACTGCGTAGCTGGGAGTACAGGCATGCGCCACCTCATCTGGCCTCATCTTATTTCTATACATTGATTTCAATGGATAAGAATAAAAGTAGAGGTATTAAAATGGCCTTCTTATCGAATAAATGAGTTGATAAGTTGTTATAATGATTACATCTTTTTTCTTTTCTCTCTGTATAGATAGGGCTTTGGAGTCCGACTATTCTGATCATCCAAAAATAAAGAAATCTCAAGCAGTTGGTGAGCCAACATTGTTTTTTTCTACCAAGAAGAAGAGTGAAAACTCTTGTTTGATGAGGTGTATAATAGAAGGTGTTTAGCAGAACTCATATTGTTTTAAATTTTTTAAATGTTCACATATTCACTTGTGTTATTTTAATGTGATATACTTGTTATGTTAGTGAAACCATGTCAACTTATTCTTCATAGATTTTCCCATCTTTTTATCAACACAATTTGTCATGTAGTGGAGGAGTCTTAGATTTATCTTTATGTTTAATTCTTTGTTTCTCTTCCCAATGGATAAAAATAAAAGTAGGTGTAGGAATGGCTTCCTTGTCGAATAAGTGAGTTGATAAATTGTTATAAGTGATTACATACTTTTTCCTTTCTCTCTGTGTATGTATAGATAGAGCTTTGGAGTCCGACCCTTCAGATCATCCAGAAGGAAAGAAATATCCAGCAGATGGTGAGACAACATTGTTTTTTTCTACCAAGAAGAAGAGTGAAAACTTGTTTGATGAGGTGTATAATAGAAGGAGTTTAGCAGAACTCATACTGGTTTAAATTTTTAAAATTTGTCATATATTTACTTATGTTATTTTAATGTAATATACTTGTTATGTTAGTGAAACCATGTCAACTTATTGTTCATAGATATTCCCATCTTTTTATCAACACAATTTGTCATGTAGTGGAGGAGTCTTTGATTTATCTTTATTTTATATTCTTTGTCCCTTTTTTCAATGGATAAGAATAAATGTAGGTGTAGAAATGGCTTCCTTGTTGAATAAGTGAGTTGATAAATTGTTATAAGTGATTACATACTTTTTTCTTTCTCTCTGTATATGTATAGATAGAGCTTTGGAGTCCGACCCTTCTGATCATCCAGAGGGAAAGAAGTATCCAGCAGATGGTGAGATAACATTGTTCTTTTCTACCAAGAAGAAGAGTGAAAACTCTTGTTTGATGAGGTGTATAATAGAAGGTGTTTAGCAGAACTCATATTGTTTTGTAAATTTCTAAATTTTTACATATTCACTTGTGTTATTTAACGTGATACACTTTTCTTTAATTGTTATGTTAGTGAAAATATGTCCACTTTTTAAAAATACATTTCCCCATCTTTATATAACACCATTTGTCATGTAATGGAGGAGTCTTAGATTCATCTTTATGTTTAATTCTTTGTTCTTTTTCCAATTGATAAGAGTAAAAGTTGAGGTAGTGAGATGTTTTTCTTGTTCAATAAATGAGTTGATAAATTGTTATAATGATCACATCTGTTTCTTTTTTCTCTGTACAGATAGCGTTTTGGAGGTCCGACCGTTCTGATCATTCAGAAACAAAGAAATCTCAAGCAGTTGGTGAGCCAACAGTTGTGTTTTCACCCAGGTAAAAAGAGTGAAAACTTTTGTTTTATGAGGTGTATTATAGAAAGAGTTTAGCAGAAACTCATATTGGTTTAAATTTTTAAAATATTCACGTATTCACTTGTGTTATGTTAACATGTGATATACTTTGCTTGTTATCGTGTTAGTGAAAACGTCAACTTTTTGTTCATGCATTTTCTTATCTTTTAATCAATACAATTTGTCATGTAGTGGAGGAGTCTTAGATTTATCTTTATGTTTAATTTTTTGTCCATTTTCCAATGGATAAGAATAAAAGTAGGGGTAGAAATGGCTTCTTTTTCGAATAAATGAGTTGATAAATTGTTAGAAATGATTACATATTTTTTCTTTTCTTGCTGTATAGATAGGGCTTTGGAGTCTGACCCTTCTGATCATCCAGAAGGAAGGAAATACTCAGCAGATGGTGAGACAACGTTGTTTTTTTCCACCAGGAAAAAGAGTGAGAACTCTTGTTTGATGAGGTGTATAATAGAAAGCGTTTAGGAAAACTCATATTTGTTTAAAATTATGAAATTTTTACATATTCACTTGTGTTTTTTTTAACATGTGATATACTTTGCTTGTTATCATGTTAGTGAAAACATATCAACTTTTTGTTCATTGATTTTCCCATCTATTTATCAACACAATTTTTCATGTAGTAGAGGAGTCTTGGATTTATCTTTATGTTTAATTTTATGTCCCTTTTCCCAATGGATAAGAATAAAAGTAGAGGTAGTGAGATGGCTTCCTTTTTGAATAAATGAGGTGATAAATTATTATAAGTGATTATGTATTTTTTCTTTACAGATAGTTCCTTGGAGTTGAACTCTTCTGAAGCATGGACATCCCAAACAGGTAGTGAGACATGTACCTTCCTTTTTGAATAAATGAGGTGATAAATTATTATAAGTGATTATGTATTTTTTCTTTATAGATAGTTCCTTGGAGTTGAGCTCTTCTGAAACATGGACATCCCAAACAGGTAGTGAGACAACATTGTTTTTTCTGCCAAGACAAAGAGTGAAAAATCTTGTTTGATCAGATGTATTATAAAAACTTTTTAGAAAAACTCATATTATCCAACATAGTCGGAGGTCTTTTCTCCTTCTTGGATTTTCCCTCTGGGATCTTACTTCCACACTCTCTCGTGGAAGCTTTCTCTCTTCTCTGTTTCTCTGTCTCTGTCTCTCTCTCTCAATAAAACATTTTGTTTAAATAAACAAACAAAAAGAAAAACTCATTTTGGTTTAATACCAAAATCAGAATTTGCTTTTTACCATGGGAATGGCACCAAGCCATTTATTAGGAATGCTCCACTGTTATCCAAACACTTCTCACTATGCCTTGTCCTCAGGATTAAGGGTCCCATTTTAACCTGAGATTTGGAGAGGGAGACATATCCAAACCATATCAGTGGTGTATTTTCCACTTACTTTCAGAGACATGGGCTTATCACACCTGGAGAGCATGAAAGCAGAAAAAAGAAAAGCTATTCCATGTCTCTCACACTTCAGTGATGGGAATGTTTGCCTACAAGGCCCTTCCAGCACTAAAGGTGGAGGCAGTATAAGAAACAAAGCAAGGCCCAAATCCCTCTTGAAGCTCTTACTATTCTGCCTTTTTTTTTTTTTTTTTTTTTTGCTGCAGACACCATATCCAAATTTGTTTACTTTTTTAAACATTTAAATTTGGCCAGGTGTGGTGGCTCATGCCTGTAATCCCAGCACTTTGGGATGTGGAGGTGGATGGATCAGGCGGTCAGGAGTTCGATACCAGCCTGACAAAAATGCTGAAACCTTGTTTCTACTAAAACAAAAACTAGCTGGGCATGGTATGGTGCACCTCTAATCCCAGTTACTCAGAGGCTGAGGCAGGAGAATCGTTTGAACCTTGAAGGCGGAGGTTTCAGTAAGCCAAAGTTATACCATTTTACTCTAGCCTGGGTGACAGAGGGAGACTCCTTTATATCAAAAAAAAAAAAGATTAAATTTAAGATTGGTTACTTTTCAGTTGTGTAAAGACCCCGTTTTTGTTTGTTTGTTTGTTTGTTTGTTTGTTTGTTTGTTTTAGTGACATATTAGTAGATGACCACTAGAGAGTGTAAGAGTCTTACAGGAATTCTGATGCATCTAGAGATAGGTGCCTGGCCAGCAAGTAGTTCTTAGAGCTGTTAGCTCTTAGATTCTGGTAATTAAGCTATATGTAAATCCAGAATGGGAGAATACTAACGGATCATGGCTCATATATGCAACAATTAAATTTTTTAGTTAGCTAAATTTTTTATCTAGCCTAATTTTTTTGCCTATTTTCACATGAGCATTATTTCACTCGTATGTAACAAAACAGAAAGTAACCTAGGTCAAAAAATAAATCTGAGTTTTTGTATTTTACTTTATGAGATTTATCATGCCAGAAAATTTAAATTATAAATTGTTGAAATTAATTTTTTTAAATGGAATTTTTTCTGATTATACATAGTAGTCAGTAAGATTTTAACAACTACTTTTATATTATTTGTGTCAGAAGTGACCTTTTTTTTCTTTTATTCTTAGCACAAGAAATAGGAGAAAACAGCCTTAGAAACCATGTAAGTAAACAGTCAAAAAGTTTAGGAATTGATTGTTTGATGTAAAAGTATGTCTGTTTTGATTACTTTTTATTATAATGGGGACCCAGTGGTGATAGAGTGGACCTCGTTTCATGGATTTTCTGAATCTCTTCTACTTTCCTATCAAATTTATCCCAAAAAATCTTCAGCTTAGTGTGCCCACCTTTTAAGGATTTCTGACACGTAAGTTAAATTTCAATACTTGGTTGTGGTATAAAGATCTGCTTTAAATATTTAGTCTTATTTTTAATGAAACAACAAAAAGAGCTAAGTTAATTGTCAGTATGGTGTATTGACCCTCTGTCACAGCAGGTGAAAGCTTATCTTCCTTGCTAACCATGACCTTATTTTTCTCCCTCTGTTTCTTTCAATATGTAGCACACTTTTTAATTCAATCAGTAATATTGACATGATTATGGCTATCCACATATTATTCACTGCTGAGTTATATGTTGTTTTCACTGTGTCTCTTCATTACATATTCCTTCATTCTTTCTCTGAAACAGTTCTGAAATCTGAGCACTTCTGCACTTCTTCTGGATCATCTTTTTTTCCTGGCCTATGCTGGTTTATCCAGCCAAATGCAATACGTAGCCTCTGGATGGTCTGTCACTTTATTGAAAAATAATAATTGTTAAATTATATTTTACATATAATTTACATTTCACATCCATTATTTTTTAGCATGAAGCTGATTTTCTGACTATATTCATTTGCCTGTTTTCTAACAGCTGATTACCCACACACACACTCAAGTGTCGTAGCATTTATCACATGCCTTTCAAAGATATTTTCCATCTGCTAAAACATATCTGTTCCTCTTTGTTTTTGGCCGGTGGTGGGCAGCCTTTCTTTGGCCTTTTGTCATCCTAGTTTAGTATAGAGTGGATTTACCTAGATATACTTGATCTTTTAGTCTATCTGTGCTATCTTTTTAAAGTCTTTTGGGAATCTCACATAACTGCCTTCTTGTGTGGGATCACGTGAGTCCTAGATTCTGTGTTTTTTTTTTGTCTTGTTATCCTCTCTAGTTGTACTTAAGCACACGTTCCTGTTTAGAGATCTGACCAGTCTTAAAATTCTTCTTCCTTGATAGAGAGTAAACTTCTAGGTTGAATCTAAATTTATGGTTCTGAAGATATTCTGCAATTCTGCTCTCATCACCTTGTTTTCTTGAATCTATTGCCATTGCGTGACACGTTATTTATAACCACGTTTTTATGTGTTTTTGGAAGCTTTTTTGGAGCTTTTTTATCTCTGAGATTCTGAAATTTTATAATAACAGCATTGCGGGGGATCTTTTCATTTTACTGAGGCTACTAAGTCTGCAGAGTCTCTTTTTGAGAATGTTTTTTATTTTCTCTGTTCCTTTTTTCTGATAGTCATGCTCAGGCGCTACACTGCTTAGACCAGTAGACCTGCTTTGGTTTCCAATTTTTTCCCTTCAATTTTATATATATATATTTTTGGAGAGTTTTAACATTTTTTAAAAAGTTTTGCTCCTGATTTTGACTGGTCCCATGAATTTGTGTGTTGTTTTAGTCTCTCTTGTTGGAGGCTTTACTCCAATGTGTGGTGGTCCCTGGCTTGCTTGCTTGATTTGGAAGCAGGACTTTTGTTAACTGATGGCACTCAGTGTGAGGTTGTGGAAGCAACTAGCTTTTCATTTGGGAGACCTCAGTGTATTACCTGGGGATCTTTATTCAAGACAGTTTAGTTTCTTGAGAATGTTCTTTTAAGTTTCTGCCTGACTACTTGCTTTCCAAAAGCAGAGTTAGGGAAGCAAGTTGGAGTTCCATTTTTGGTGTATAGTTTTCTTTATGTCTCAGGTTTAATCTTTGGTAGTTGGGAGCCAGAAATTCTCAGGTTTGGTATATCCAGGGAACACACATCTAAGTTTCTTATCAGATGGGAGAACAGGTGGATGTGAGTCTCTAACCACAGATTTTCAACTGACCTTGGTGGCTTTGTTTTACATTTTGCACTACTTTTTAAAGTGCTATTTGCCTCTAAGTTCACAGCCCACCTTTAGTTCTACAAGACCAACTGCTCGCTTCTGTTGCAGTCACTTTCTCTTTTTTTTTTTTCTTTTTCTTTTTTTAAGACAGAGTCTTGGTTTGTCACCTGGGCTGGAGTGCAGTGGTGACATCTCAGCTCACTGCAATCTTCGCCTCCTTGGTTCAAGCGATTCTCTGCTCAGCCTCCTGAGTAGCTGGTATTGCAGGCAACTGCCATCACAGCCAGCTGATTTTTGTATTTTTAGTAGAGATGGGGTTTCACCATGTAGGCCTGGCTGGTCTTGAATTCCATGGCCTCCCAAAGTGGTAGGGTTATAGGTGTGAACCTCCTTGCCCGGCCTCCAGTCACTTTCTTTAGGCATCATAGTTGTGCTTTCTCTGTTATTTACCACTTTTTATCTACTTTTTTGTCTCAGGATTTATTAAAAAGTATCTCTTTTCAACTTATTCTCCTGGCACTGTGTTTTTCCTTTATTTTGTGACTAATGAGATGTCTAGAGGGAGAGGAAGTAAGTTTGTGATGAATCTATTATATTAAATCCAAATTTAGGACCTCTATTCAAAGTGTAAATCAAAGTTTAATTTCATTAATATCATTAATGGTATTATCTTATTACTTCATAACATAGATGGAGCTCTTTTCATTGAATGCTCACAGTGTTACAAATATTTAAGTTAATTAAGATATGTTTATTTTAAGTCTGGTCAACAAAGCAAGACCTCATCTCTACAAAATGGTGAACTAACAAATTAGCCAGGCATAGTGGCATATGCCTTTAGTTTTACCTACTCAGGCAGCTGAGGCAGAGGATTGCTTGAGCTCACGAGTTTGGGGCTGCATTAACCATCATTGCACCACTGCCCTTCAGCCTGGGTGACAAAGTCAGACCTTGTCTCAGAAAAAGGAAAAAAGTTATTAATAGTTTAAAGACATGCCTAAAATTTGTCCTGCCAAAAAGGAGAGAGAAAAACCTAAACTTTAGTTTTTCTTTTATTTTATTTATGTTTGCTGAGAAGATTGCTATAGTTTATTTTATATTTCAGTAGGTTTTGGGGGGAACAGGTGGTATTTGGTTACATGAGTAAGTTCTTTAGTGATGATATGTGAGATTTTGGTGCACCCATTACCTGATTAGTATCCACTAAACCTGATTTGTAGTCTTTTATTTCTCACCCTTTTCCCATACTTTCCCCTAAGTTTCCAGACTTTGTTGTATCATTCTTATGCCTTTGCATCCTCGTAGCTTAGCTCCCACGTATGAATGAGAATATACAATGTTTAGTTGTCCATGCCTGAGTTACTTCACTTAGAATAATAATCTCCAATTTCATCGAGGTTCCTGGGAATGCCATTAATTTATTCCTTATTGTAACTGAGTGGTATTCCATCATATATATATATAAAACATATGCACGTATATCACATTTTTTTATCCCCTCATTGACTGATGGGCATTTGGGCTGGTTGCATATTTCTGTAATTGAAATTTGTAAATTGTAATTTGTTTGAGTTCCTTGTAGATTCTGGATAATAGCCCTTTGTCAGATATATAAGAGTGTGAAGACTTTCTCCCACTCTGGGTCGTTTGTTTACTCTGCCGATCGTTTCTTTCCCTGTGCGGAAGCTCTTCAGTTAAGTCTTACCTGCTTGTTTTTGTTGTATTTGCTTTTGCGTTCTTGGTCATGAAGTGTTTGCCTAAGCCAGTGTCTAGAAGGGTTTATACAAGGTTGTCTTCTGGAATTTTTATGGTTTCAGGCATAGATTTATGTGCTTGATTCATCTTGAGTTGATTTTTGTGTATGATGATAGTTGAGGATCCAGTTTCATTCTCCTGCATATGGCTTGCCAATTAGCCCAGCATAATTTGTTGAATAGGGTTTGCTTTCTTCACTTTATATTTGAGTTGGCTTTGTTGAAGATCATTTGGCTATAAATTTTTGGGTTTATTTCTGGGTTCTTTCTTCTGTTCCATTGGTGTATGTGCCTGTGTTTATACCAGTTGCATGCGGATTTTGGTAACTATGACTTTATAATATAGTTTGAAATTAGGGAATGTGATTGATGCCTCCAGATTTGTTGTTTTTGCTTAATTTTGATTTTGCTATGTGGAGTCTTGTTTGGTCCCATATCAGTTTTAGTATTATTTTTTTCTACTTTTGTGAAGAAGGATGATGGTATTTTGATGGGAATTTCATTGAATTTATAGATTGCTTTTGGCTATATGCTTATTTTTACAATATTCATACTATCCATTCATGAGCAGGAGATGTCTTTCCTTTTGTTTGTGTCCATCATTTCATTGAGCAATGTTTTGTCCTTCCCAACAGCATATTAAAAAGATCACCGTGATGAAATGGGTTTCATACCAGGGATCCAGGGATAGTTGAACATAACACAGGTCAATAAATGTGATACACCACATAAACAGAATTTGTAACAAAAATCACATGATCATCTCAATAAACACAGAAAAAGCATTTGACACAATCCAGCATTTTTTAATGATGAAAACCCTCAGCAAAATTGGCATACAAAGGTCATACCCCAAGGTAATAAAAGCCATCTCTGACAAACCCACAGCCAACATAATTCTGAAGAGGGAAAAGTTAAAAGCATTCCCTTTGAGAACTGGAACAAGACAAGGATGCCCCAGTCTCATAACTTTTATTCAGCATAGTACTGGAAGACCTTGCCAGAGCAATCACACAAGAGAAAGAAATAAAGGGCATCCAGATCAGTAAATAGGAAGTCAAACTGTCACTGTTTGCTGCTGATACGATTTTATACTTAGAAATCCCCAAAGAGTCCCCCAGAAAGCTCCAAGAAACTCATAAATGAATTTAGCAAGGTTTCAGGAGAAAAAATTAGCGTACACAAATCAGTAACTCTGTTATACCCTAACCATGAACACTGAGAATTGAACCAAGAACTCAGCCTTTTTAATAATAGTTGCAAAAATAAAATAAAATACTTAGGAATAGACTTAACCAAGGAAGTGAAAGACCTCTACATGGACCTTTGATGGTAAGCCTTTGGTTTTGACTTACTAAATTACTAGGTGTAATTATTTTCTAATTTTTGTTGTTAACCTACTATGTAACTTCTTCCACTTCTTGTTAAAGATCTTAAAATTTCACACTCTTTATTCATGCTGACTGCAGTTAGATTTGTTTCTTTTTTGTTCACTACCTTAAATAATACCTATAAACAGTAAACCATTAGGAGTGTTTTTGGTGTAATTAAGTTTAGTAAGACTTATTTTCCAAATTATAACTGAATTAATGTATTAAATACTTGTTGAAGTTTTTGATTTACTCAAAATTCTGTGCTCAGCAGCTGGAGGTAGAAAGAGTAAGAGCCCTCCCTTATTCTTATGGAAAGGCATACTTTTTCATGAGGGAAATACTCGGCAAGAATTAGTATCTTGTAACCAATGGTGAAATTAATTAGTGTATAAAAAAAACAAAAACAAAACTTTTTTTGTGTGTGGTTGCTGGCAGAAAGATCCAAGAAGGTAGATGGAATCAAGCTTGCTGAAACAAGGAGAGAGAAAAACAGTCTTCTAGAGCAAGGGTATAGCAGGAAAATGCCTAGGTGCAGGTCAGATGATTTATAGAATGAAATCAATCAACTTTTGAAATGAATAGCAAATATTCTCTGAGAGTTTCATTTGAGTCATGTCATGGCAGTCTTATTTAAACATGAAGTGAAAGTTAAATTTTTTAAGTTGTTACCTGTTTTCAGGGTGTGAGAGAATATTTAAGTGATAATCTTTTTATCCTCCACATAAGAAAATAGGACTAGAGAAACCTATGGCTTCCTCACTTGGTAGTGGCCTAGCAACCCTGGCAAACAGAATCTCTGAATGTGAAACACCTGTTTTGTCACCATACTGCCTGAAATAATAGTAGGATTAGTAAGTTTGTAAATACATTAGTCTTGTATTCATTGCAATAAATTTCTCTTGTACCAGTATTATTTAATACAATACATTTTATTGTAATAAATCAATAGAAATTCTCAGCTGCTTTATATCATGGTAGAAAAAACAAATTGTATTTTAAACTTTTGTCATTATCTATAAAGAAAATTCATAAACTCCTTGTTAGGTTTGATGACAGGTAGCATATTAAGAGCAGCATTTTCTAACCCATATCTCAATATCACCTCTGGAAGTTAAGAGCCTGCACTGGTTTTTCTATACAGTGCACATGATATCACACTCAGGCAGTTCATGGAGTGTAAGAAATATCTTAGTGCTTTGTCATTGGACATTTTAACTGAGAAAAAAGAAACACACTTTGATAAGTTTACCTTATCCTTTCCTTTCTCTGTAGATATATATGGATCATTTTTCTTGGAAATTCAGTTCATGCTCGACAATTTTTCTTGAAGACAGCACAGCCAGCTGCCCTGATTTTGAAATGACACTACACTAGTGAGTACAACTATACTGCCAAGGGACAGATTAAAATTATTTCAGCCATTTGATTGTCCTCTTCAATCAGTTTAAGAAATTGGAGTCAACTCTACGTTGATACCAGATTCTAAATATTAAGTATCAATTTCTCTTTTCATCTTCTACATCATGGTGGAAGGAAAAATCTCTTAGCAAATAAGCAATTTCAGCAAAAGTGTTGCTATTTATTTGATGCCTTTATGCCTTAAAAGAATATTGAATGCAGTGAGAAGTATAGGTTGTCTTTATTGATTGTTTTTTGTGAAAAATTAGTTTTTCAATGCGTTGCAGGCCTCAGTCAATGTGTACTACTTTGGACATTAGTCTTAAAAGAAGGAACAGCTTTTTTTCCTCTGGCACCGCAGTGTATCTGCATTTGAATTTCTCCCATCGTGCATGAGCACTTCATGGGCCACAAAGATGCACTTTGAGAGCACTCTTAGTTGAAGTTTATTTTTTAAAAGGAACAACCACCAACACCATAACCACAGGGACTGTCCATGGTACATTATTATCATCTCCTTGGTTATGAGTGTTGATTTTTAGAGCACAGTTTGCAAAGTGCTAATTTAGAATATTAATGTCCTTACATTTAAGTTTCCTTTTCATTCTAGAAATATAACTATCTTATTAATAATGTTGTTTTGAATGCACTAACCTTTTTAGCAAATTCAATCTTCAGTAACTTTTACTTTAATTAAAAATGGCAGGTTTACACTCATAATGTCACTTTCCTCCCTCCCTCATAACAATAGTTGAGATGAAATTGTGTGTCAGTACAAATTGGAATCAAATTATGTCTTAGGTGCTGAGCTTTGGGACCTATTGAGTAATCACTAAATGTCTGTAGTCAGCCAAGTTTCTTCACTCTTTTTTCTTTTTCTTCTTTTCTTTTTTTTTTTTTTTTTTTTTTTTTTTTGAGACAGAGTTTTCCTTTTGTCTTATTGCCCAGACTGGAGTTCAATGGCACCGTCTTGACTCGCCACAACCTCCACCTCCCAGGTTCAAGCAATTCTGCCTCAGCCTCCCAAGTAGCTAAGATTACAATCATGCACCACCACACCCAGCTGATTTTTTTTTTTTTTTGGAGAGTTGAGCTTTCTTTGTGTTAGGCTGGTCTTGAACTCTCAATCTCAGGTGATCTGCCCACCTCTGCCTCCAAAAGTGCCGGGATTACAGGCCTGAGCCACCACACCTGGCTGTCTCTCTTAAATCTTTGAGCATAAAAACAAACAAACTACTTTGGCTAAAGTCCCTGGCTGCTTTTGAATTCAAGCGATTTTTATGTTTTAGCATAGCATGCCAACGTAGCTTTGAAGATAGTCTTGTTCAAACAAATTTCATGCTTTTTTCCTCATTCTTCTAATTTTTAGAAGTCTACTTTCAAAAGTAAAGTAAGTTTTAATTTGCCATCAGCAAGTTTGAGATATGATCATTTGGTGTATTCGCTCTTGGTGAAATAGAGATTTATTGAGCAAATTAATAGGGCAAATTGGCTTCAGGAAAAGATTTTGAAAAATGTTCATCACAAGTTAGTAGTGCACTGTTATCAGTGGGATAGGTGGAACTCATTGGGATCACTTTTGCAAAGTTTGTCTTCAAATACATGTCTGCAAATAAATACATGTATCCTCCAATCTCCACTTTCCCTCTTCCTCCAGGCACTGAGAAGCCTTTTAGGAAAACATAGCATCTTTATGTGAAGAAAAGCATTCCAGAAGATTCTGATTTTCATCTCAACTCAATCATTTGAAATTTTGCTGCACATTGAAATCACCTGGGAAACTTTTACCAACAACCCTGATGGCCAAAGTTATATCCAATGCTAATTATTGAAAATGAGGCAGTTATTAAAGCTTCTCAGCTGATTTTAATGTGCAGCAAAATGTAGAGCCACTGCCTAATTTGAGTTTAGGACAAGAAACTGCTCCTATTTGTTGGGACCTTGGGCAAGTCAGTTTTAAGATTTATTTTCCTGACCTGTAAAATGAGTGTTGGATTAAATGTCTTGTAAGGTCATTGGTTCTTTCCAGCATTTAACTTCAAATTCTGTGATTTAAAATTTTTTCAGAGATTAAAACTACTTAACGCACTATAGACGTATCCCTCTGAAGTGCTAATGTTACAGGCTTTTTTAAAAGTGCTGATATTTTATTGACCTATTATTAAAATTGAGATTTGCCTTCCCTCAGTTATTTTGAACCTCATTGTAGATGCTGAGGGAAAATGGAAGCACATAACTTATGTAAGAGAACCTCTTGTTTCTGAAACAGAGCATCAGTGGGTAACTTAGGAATACAGTTACATATATCTGAAGAGTTGTGTGTGTTCATAAATATTTCAGTTAAACTAACTGAAGATACCTGCCATTGATATTACACTGTATCATGCTACACTACCTTGTTAGCACTGCTTATTTTAGGATTGCTGTACCTATCATTGATGTCATGTGAGCTTATGTTTACTGATATATTTTCTAATAATTATGCAAAAGTAATTTCAAATAATTTTGTTATAAAGCACTTTCACTATGTTATGCATGTTTTGGGAAATAATTTTAAAAATGGGTGGGTAGGAGATAGTGAACTAAACTAAAATGCAGGGCCTAACATCTTAAAAAAGAAATCACTACTGTGTGGCTGAAATTTAAACGTATGTACACATAGATATAAATTGCATGAGTCAGGGTGTGGTGACTCAAGCTGTAATCCCAGCACTTTGGGAGGCTGAGGCAGGCAGATCACTTGAGGCCAGGAGTTTGAGATCAACCTGACCATCATGGCAAAACCCCATCCCTACTAAAAATACAAAAATTAGCCGGGCATAATGGCACCAATCTGTAGTCTCAGCTACTTGGGAGGCTGAGGCATGAGAATTGCTTGAACTCGGCAGGAGGAGGTTGTGGTGAGCCAAGGTTGCTCTGGGCAACAGAGCAAGACTCTGGGTCACACAATAAATAAATACATAAAATAAATTGCATGTGATGAAAGGTTTTGTGGGTAGAACGTATAACAGGGAAATATGTTATTATTTATAAATTATAATCATCAACAGAAACATGTTTTCTAACAGGGTATTGTATTGCCTTGCATTTTTATTCTCATATTTTTGCTAAAACCCAAGAAATGAAAACAAAGTGCCCTTATGATACTTTTCTGAACTACAAGGTTTTAATTTCAGGGCCTCTAGGAGAGTTTCCACCACACCCTTTTAAAAAAAATGTCTTCAGACCTAACAATTGATAATATCTATTGTTATATTGAATGTTTTCCTTCCACAGTGTCGCCTTGGAGTTTTATTTTCTTACCAAGGAAAGGTGAGCTTTTTAAAAAAACTGTCTTGTTATTCTGGCTAATTACTTTGCAAGCTATGAAGCTCTTTAGGTCACAGCTCTGGATATCGAGAGCTGTATCGGGCCTACTAAAATATCCAAGCAAATTATTTGTGTTTTCTTTGGTCCGTAACACTTTTAATTCTTAAATGATTGGGAATCTCAAAGAGTATGTATTTATATTGATGATATTGATATTTACTGTCATAGAACTATAAAATTGATACTTTTTTCAAAATCTAATTTTAGTTTGGATTTCACAGCCTTACCACTGTTAATATCTTGATCTTGATAACGCTTTGTCACAAGGACTGTCCTGTGCATTGCAGAAAGTTTAGCGGCACTGGTGGCCTATACCAAGTAGATGTCAGTAGTAACCCATGACCCAGGTTGTGACAGTAGAAAATACTTCTTGAGGACAATATTGTTAACATAGATTTTTAAATGAGAAAATAGATTTTCTACAACAAAAAGTAGAGTAAAAAGTATGTCATGTATTTATATTATTGAAAACCCCGAATGTCACACTTAATAGAAGACAGCCGGATTCTCTAGGTCTTTCTTTGCAATTTGCTTTAAGAAGCAATAAGATGGCCAGGTGTGGTGGGAGGCACCTGCAATCCCAGCACTTTGGGGAGGCCAAGGCAGGCAGATTTATTTGAGGTCAGAAGGATAGACCAGCCTGACCATTATGGTGAAACCCATCTCTACTAAAAATACAAAAACAGCTGGGCATGATAGTGCATGTTGGTAGTCAAAAGAGGGAAGCAATGACATGACCTAATCTCATGCAGATATGTAGTTGGTAAAAGGTTCATTGTTAAAGCTTTGAGACCACTGTGGTATTTAATAATAAGTGAAAACTTGGCAAGTGCTACTTTTTAAAATCATTTCTCACTAATCTGTCTTGCATGGTAAATGGATCTTTTCCTCCATACTTGCATTTATACTATCATGCGTTATTTGGAATATATTGGTTTATGTTTTATTGTGTCAAAAATCACTTTTAACCACCAATATTATTTTTAAAGTCTTTAAGTGTTGAAAAGCTGTCAAGCCTACAGTAGAAGGAGCGAGATTTTCAAAGTCCGCAAGAAAGCTTAATTTGTCATTGGGAACACATGTTCATTTATTTTTGATAATGGTAGTTGTCCTTTATTTTTAGACTGAGTCTCACTTTGTCACTTGGCTGTAGTACATTGGCATGATCTCAGCTCAAGCAATTCTCTCACCTCAGACTCCTGTGTAGCTTGGACCACAGAGGTGTGGCACCACATCTGGCTAATTTTTGTGTATTTTTGGTAGAGACAGTTTTACCATGCTTTCCAGGCTTCTCTTGAACTTTTGAAGGAACTCAAGCCATCTGCCTGCTTTGGTCTCCCAAAGGGTTTGGATTTTAGAGGTGTGAACCATTGCACCGGCACAGTGGTACTTTTAAATAAAAATGATGATCTGTGAAAAAAGTGATTGTTCCGCTCACAATTAAATCATGAATTTTTCTTAAACACAACCATACTGCAGTCAGCAGAAGCGCTTCTTCTTAGCTTTGTACTGATTTCAGAATATTGAAGAGACATGTCAAGATTTAGTAACACCATTAATTTTTACCACCTCAACAAAGACATTCTTAAGTACTTTAGACTGCTTTTTAATTGTAAGGGACAATAAAGAACAGAATTACTATCAATGTAATTGGTACCACTGCCTTGATTTAGGCTGAGAAACCAGCAGTTTATCCACTTTTGCTTTTATACAGTTTGTGGCGGGTGTTTATGAAAAAGTAGTCAGTGTCTTTGTATTACTTTCTTAATTAAAAAAAATTTGTATCAACTTTCTGAGGTTAAATTAGTATGATTATCAAAACAGTGTCCAGCAGACACGGTGGTTTAGGCCTATAATCTTGGCACTTTGAGAGGCCAAGCAGATGGATCACCTGTGGTCAGGAGTTCAAGACCAGCCTTGCCAGCCTGGTGAAACCCCATTTTTACTAAAAATACAAAAGTTGGCTGAACGTGGTGGTAGGCACCGTAATCCCAGCTACTCGGGAGGCTGAGGCAGGAGAATAACCTGAACCTGGGAGACGGAGGTCCCAGTGAGCCAAGATCCCACCATTGCACTTCAGCCTGGGCAACAAGAGTGAAACTCCATCTCAGAAAAACAAAAACAAACAAACAAAATAAAGAAAAAAACAGTGTTGACCTCTTAGGCCTTCTCAGAAAGGGTCTTCGGGATCCCCAGAGGTCCACAGAGCACATTTGGAGAACCACTGGTCTATCACACAGGCACAATGCATTAGTTTTACAAAGTTTAAAGTTAATCAAAGACTAGCCTCTTTTAAAATAAAAGGGCAGATGAGTTCTTAATCTAAACAACAGAAAATAAATAAATTCATCATGAAAGTATACTACAGAGGACTAAAAAGAAAGGAGGCTAGGAAATCGGAATCACGTTTACATTTATGAAAGTCCTAAAGACTTTATTGCCCACCACTACTGCTTTGTAAAACATTCTTGTGTTTCAGTGTGTGGTTAAGAAGAGAGAAAATATGTTTGGTTTATTGCCATTGCCTGTTCGGGAGAGTCGATACCTATAGGCAGTTCTGACTGGTTATTATGGAAAAGACTTCACAGTGCAGGAGATGATGTGCTGAGGAAGAGGTCAGGAAACATTCTGCAGGGCGGGATCCAGGAGAAGAATTTGTAAAAACTGTTTGCTTTGGTGAAGTAAACACCAAAGCATATAGGAGGCATTGTTATATTAAACAGGTATTATGCTAAGATATTATCAGTTTCTGAAGTAATGCACATTCTTATTTTATAGAAAAGGAATTGTATCTTTCACAATATTTGATGAACGTGTATACCCATTGGAAGTAAGTGGCACTTTTATTGAGGTTGTATTTTTATCATAGACTTGTATTTCTTTCATGCTGATGTCAAAGCTGTCTTTAAATTTTCCCCATTTCGTGTTGCATTTAGTCGTCTTAGGTGTAAAAAGAATGTGTTAGAATAAGAACTGATCTGTAGCTCTGTTTAGTGAGTGAACTAGTATGAGTAAATCTATCAAAATAACAGAAAATGTATCTTTTAAAAGACAGTTATTAGTAGCATCAAGCAATATAAGTATATGTAAATACTTTTAACACAGAAGCATGACATTTAGGAAGAGTTAATAATTTAAATTTATATCAACCTACATGTTATAAAATTTTAAAATGCACTTCCTCAAGTACCTAATAGCCACATGTGGCTAGTGACTATTGTATTTAACAGCATAGGCTTAGAGCCTCATGGTTACAGGAAACTTTATTTTCTCAAAGGTTATTGCAGAGAATGACATGCCATCAGTAAGGCATTAAAGCCTAAGGGTAGCTTACATTTGGATAAAATTATGTGGGGCAAAGAGTAAAATAGAACAAAAAATTTTCTGCCCTTTAGCTCATGATTTTTAAGTGAATGTTGATGAGTATTACTATGGTATTTTAAGATCCCACTGTTCATATTGTGAAAACTGAAAGACATCTCACCAATTAAAATCATTAGAAATGGTGCATAGGCACAAATGTGAACACTGCTGTCTTAAGAGCACTTCAGGTTTTCTCTTCAATGGATACTTACATTGCATCCTTTCTTCTTTCAGGACAAAATGGAAAAATACATTAGGTGTGATCCTTCACAGACAATGATTTACGAATTTATACGTTCCCTGTTTTATGTAAAAATTCTAAATGTTGCTGATGTCATCAAAAGTAGGGTAAGTTATTTCCTATTTATAAAGCATCTTTAGAAATTGGTCTTGTAAAGACCAATTGGCCTGGCCAATGAGGTTAAGCTCTGTCTCACCCAACAATACAAAAGTTAGCCACTCATGGTAGCATGCTCCTGTAGTCCCAGCCACTTGGGAGACTAAGGCAGGAGAATTGCTTGAACTCAGGAGGCAGAGTGCAGTGATCCAAGATTAAGCCAGTGTACTTCAGCCTAGGCAACAGAGCAGGACTCTATTTCCAAAAAAAAGAAAAGAAATTAATTTGTAAACAGGGTAGTATGTTCCTGATTTTAAGTGAAAGTAGGTTTCTGAAATTATCTCAGAATTTTAAGAGAAACTTACTACAGGAAATACACACATTAGAGTTGAATCATCATTATGGCTTAAATGTTGCCTTGGGTTTCTCATTACAGAACAATTGCTATTAAAGGCAGCAGGAGGGATTTCTGATTTCTCCCCCCACACTTCAGTGCACACATGCACATGCAGTGTGCTCACATCCAGGGCATATGGAGGGCTTGGAATGAAGAACAGTAACAAGACAATCTGGTTCATGGGCAGGAATGTTTGCCATTGTAGGTCTAAGCTGAGTCCCAGGGTGTATCCCCAGGCAATTCTCATGTATGTTGTGATTGAGAGCTTGTGCCCTCAGTTCATTGTTCCTTGGATGTGTTAATCTACCCTGGTGAGCAGAGTAGGTAGCAGAAATATTTGGGCTATGATTGTGATATGGCCCCTTACTTAACCTGATGAAACAAAGTCTGTAGAACATAAGAATAAAGGCATCTTTCTGGTCAAAACCAGAAGTATTCTGCTTTTTCATAAGAGTTTTTATCACAGCACTTAAACTGAGTTAAAGGCCAGTGTTCTGTTTTGCAGGTGTACATCCAAAGACTTCTACAGTGTGCTCCTATGTACATTCGTCCAACCACCTGGAGGAGGATTATCCTTGGAGCCTTTCTTGTTGTCATCAAGGTTGGGAGCAATGTGGCCGTGTGCAATGAGGACTTATGCATGCGCTTTGAGAAAACTACAGTTGACGATCTGTGAGTTTGTATGGTTTTTGTGAACTTTCTAACCATTTTTGGATACTTTGTTTGCTCCCATAAACTTAAACACTTTGAGAAATACTTTTAAAGGTTACATTATGCAGATAATAAAAATGGGCTTAAATACCACTCTTTCTTTCTCCCCGGTTTTAGAAGAATAGTTCATATTTTTCACTATTCATTGGTAGGTCTTGGTAAATTGCCATTGTAATAATCTCGTAAATGGAAAAGTATTTTTCTGGTGAATGTTTTTGGCAAATACCTTACCAGTGTACAGTGAGAAGCATAATAGTACAGTCAATTTTCTTACGGCTTTTACAAGCTGTCTGCAAGTTCTAGTCTCTTTGTGAGGAGCGCACATCTGGTCTTTGAAATAATTGTTTGCCCATTGACAGGTCTGGGGCCTCTGCATTGTGAAGTATAGCTTCACCCTGAGCCATACATTGTGTATTTGCATTTGCCAGTGTTCTCCCACTTTTCTCTAAAGATCCGTTTTATAGAAACCTTGAGATATGGAATAGCCACAGTTCCCTGTGCCCTGTCCTTTCCCGATTAGGAGCATTGCATCATTGGGCTGATGAGTTAGAAGTTCTAGTGTTCCCCTCAGGCAGTCTGAGAAACATTGCTGGGGCATCACCCAATGCTCACCACACTCAGGAGGTTCCCAGGGCATTAATGCAACCACAGCAGCACTTGGAGGGCCCCAAGTTATCTGTGAGAATGCAAAAAATCTTGCTAAATCATGGGGTTGCTCATAGATGGCAACAGGACACTGAAACAGGAGCTTCATGGGTCTTTCTTTCAGTCTGGCCTCATGACTGCTGTAAAGGGAAGGGTCTTGGAGCTGGTTGGTAGGGTGCACCAGGGAGGCATTTCCAGCACAGGCTCTCACAGTGTTTGCTAGACAGTGAGAATTGCTTTGTGGGTGACACTTAGGAAAATCTGAAGGAACACCCCTTGATGACATAGAAGCATATGAAGATGAAGATCCTCAGGCTGTGGCAAGAGGTTTTAGTTTTTCGGTTTGTTTGTTTCTTTGTTTTTACGTTTGCCAGATAAGACTGTGATTCAGGATGTATGCAGTCACAAATAGAAGTCTCCGCCAATTGTGCTCCCCACAGGAATAACAACTTTAGCAACTATCTAAATTTAAAAGCACCTCCATAAGAACTGAAAATTATTTAAATGTTCATATGACGTGACTGAACAGCGTAGAAAAGACCATCTTGAATTGTTGATGCCACCACTGTGAACCTGTGGCAAGGAGAGAGGCTACATGCTTGAGGAAGGGAGAGCACAGCAGCTGCGGGACTTTGCCTGAACTCAGTGCTGCCTTGTCATAGCAGAAAGCAAAACAAAGCTGAATGCACCCAAAGAAAAAACATTTAGACTAGCCCCAACCATAGGGGAATTATTCATCCCTATGGTTGGAACTTGAGTGATGAAAGCCTGGCTGCCATGGGATAAAATAGTCTGGGGTCCTTAATAAACCTGAAAGACTGTTTAGGTCACAAGAACTGCAACTCCTAGTGCCATCTGGACAGACCTAATGCTGTCCCAGAGGTCATGGCCACAGGGGTGCTTGTATCACATTTTCTCCCAGCTTTAGGCAGCTTAGCACAGAGAGACAGACTTCATTTGTGTGAAAGTAAGTGAAGAAGCGAGTCTGTGTCCATTAATCTAGAGAATTCCTTCAGGTCTGATCTCAGACCACCAATGTGGAACCTCCACAATTCTGCAAAAACCAATGACATTCTTCACAGACATAGAAGTAAAAAAAAATGAATCCTAAAACATACAGGCAACTAAAAAGACTCAGGATATCCAAAGTCAACCTGAGCATAAACAAACAAACCTGGGGGAATTACATTATCTAATTTCAAGTTACGCTCTACACCTGTAGTAACCAGAACAGCATGGCACTGTGATTAAAACAGGCACGTAGCCCAGTGAAACAGAATAGAAACCCAGAAACCAATTCATACATCTGCAGTGAACTCATTCTCTATGAAGGGGCCAAGCACATCCAATGGGTTAATGACAGTCTGTTGTAAGGGGTGCTGGGAAAACTGGATATCCACATGCAGAAGAATGAAACCAGGCCTCTATTTCATACCTTATACAAACATCAAATCAAAATGGATTAAAGATGTAAATCTAAGTTGGGCAGGGTGGCTCACATTTGTAATCCCACCATTTTGGGAGACCAAGATGGGAGAATGGCTTGAGCTCAGGAGTTCAAGACTATCTGGGAAATGCAGTATCTCTGTCTTTTAAAAAACTAAAAATAGATTTAAATCTAAGACCTCAAATACAAAACTAAAATAAAACATTGGGAAAACTCTCCACAGTATTGGACTGGGCAAATATTTCTTGCATAATGTTTTATAAACACAGGCAACCAAAGGGAAAAAATGGGTAAATTAGGTCACATCAAGTTAAAAAGCTTCTGCGCAACAAAGGAAACAGTGAACAAAGTCAAGTGACAACCCACAGAATGGGGGAAGGTATTTGAAAACTATCTGACAAGGGATTAATTACCAGAATACTTAAGGAGCTCAAATAAATCCATAGAAAAAAACTCTGATTTTTAAAATGGGCAAAATACCTGAATAGACATTTCTGAAAAGAGGACACTTTAGGCAGGCTTGGTGGCATGTGCCTGTAGTTTCAGCTGTTTAGGAGACTTAGGTGTGAAAATTACCTGAGCCTGGGTGATCAAGGCTGCAGTGAGCTGTGGGTCTGCCACTGCACTCCAACCTGATTGACAAAGTGAGACGTGTTTGAAAAATCCTTAAGAAAGGCATACCAACGGCAAACAGGTATATGAAAAGATACTGAACATCAATATCATTGATGTTCAGAGAAATGTGAATCAAAATTACAACGAGAGATCATCCACTGTACTTAAAATGGCTCTTATTGTAAAAGCAGGCAATAACAAATGCTGGTGAGGATATAGAGCAAAGGTAACCCTTGTACACTGTCAGTGGGAAAGTAATTTAAATACAGCCACTATGGAGAACACTGTGGAGGTCCTCAGAACTAAAAATAGAGCTACCATATAATCCAGGAATCTCACTGCTGGTATAAACCCAAAAGAAGGGAAATCAGTATATCAGAGAGATACCTGCACTCTCATGTATGTTGCAGCATTATTCACAGGAGCCAAGATTGGAAGCATTCTGAGCATTCATCAGCAGATGAGTGGCTAAAGAAAATGGTTCATATACTCAATGGAGCACTCTTCAACCACAAAGGAGAATGAGATCCTGTTATCTGCAACAACATGGATGGAAATGTTAAGTGAACTAAGCCAGACACAAAAAGACAAAATTCACCTATTCTCACTGATTTGTGGGAACTAAAATTAAAACAATTTAACTCATGAAGATATAGAGTAGGAGAATTGTTTGCAGCTGCTGGTAAAGTAGTATGGGAGGAGGAGAGGAGTAAGGGGTGATGGTTAATAGGTGCACACATTTGGTTGGAAAGAATAAATAATATCTAGTATTTGAAAGCACAACAGGGTGACAACAGTCAAGAATTATTTAATTGTACATTTTAGAGTAACTAAAAGAGTATAATTGAATTATTTGTAAAAAAATAAGAATAAAGGACATGCTTGAAGTGTGATTAATTTTACATTTATGCTGCTATGATTATGACACATTATAGGCCTGTATCAATAATTTTATATACCCCATAAATATGTACACCTACAATGTACTCCAAAAAAATGTTTAAAGGCTTTCATTCAGAATTACACAGTGTATATTACAGTTGAAATGAGGCTTCTTGTAACCAAGAAGAGATTAGTGATGGCTGGTTGCTGTTCAAATGGCTGCTAAGTTACCACTTTGCCAATAGTATAAAACTGAGTGTCATGGTGATATTGCTAGTAGCCATTTTATAAAGGATTTAACAGAAAATGAATGTCATTTGAAAGTTGTAGCTCTAGTTCTCTTAATCATACTGTCATCAATTTGTAAACTGGTTTCTTTGTGTGTGAGTGAGTGTGTGTGTGTGTGTGAGAGAGAGAGGAGAGAGAGGGAGAAAGGGAGGGAGATGAAGTTTTGCTTTTGCTGCCTAGGCAACATGTGCAATGGGGGGATCTTGGCTCACGCACCCTCCGCCTCCTGGGTTCAAGCAGTTCTCCTGTCTCAGCCTCCTGAGTAGCTGGGATTACAGGCATGTGCCACGACACCCAGCTAATTTTCTATTTTTATAGAGAGATGGGGTGTTACATAATATTCAGGAGCCTGGAGAGACCAATGGATGAAACAGGAGATTTTATTGAAGTGGCCATCAGCTCGGAGATTTGCATCCCCAGGCTGAGAGCCTAACAAAGACAGGGCTTGATTTGTTATACAGCAGGATGACATAGCACTAACAGGTTTACAGAAGCCAGAGAAAGAACAGTTAACTTGTGACATGTCTCGTGATGTATGTTATGTTTGAAAATCGCATTTTGAGAAACACATTGCACATTCTTTGGTGTTATATTCCCTGTGACCTTGCAGCTGACTGCAAGAAAAACAGGAGTCCTGAGATGCCTGGGAACTTTGCTGAGAAAGTAGGGAGTAGATAAGCTAGATTGATAGGAGTTAGTTAATTTCAAGCAGAGCTGGGGTTAGGTTTTATATTGAACAGAACGAGTAAACTTTTATTATGTAGCAATTACAGGCTACTACTGTTTAATTTCTTCACGGGTTTCTCCATGTTGTTTCTCCATGGGTCACGCTGGTCTCGAACTCCTGTCTCAGATGATCCACCCATCTTAGCCTCCCAAAGTGCTGGCATTATAGGCATGAACCACTGCCCAGCTTGTAAACTGGTTTCTTGAAGGTAGCAAAATTTGTAATGAGAAACACTTAGCTCCGCTATAGTGGCAGTTAAATTGATCTCAAGACCTGCAGCTAATCTGGTGGGGCTCTAGCTCTTTTCCAAGGTCAGAGATACACAGAGAAATGTGCAGGTGTCCATCACTCCAGAGACAGTGATGACAGAGGCCAGCCCCAAGATGACCAGTTCTACATGTGCCATTTGTGAACGCAGAAGCATCGGGAGCTATGCTCTGAAGAGGAGCTATGCTCATGATCTTTGGAGATTGAAAAACATTACAACGAAGTGTTTAATGCACATTTATCTTGTGTCCTCTACTGTTGATTGTTTATAATGGTCTCTTTTTGACTGTCTGTAATTGACCTTTTAAAATTAGTGTCTATCAGGTTTTTCTTCAAACTTTTCAACATCTGTTAGTCTTGTTAGGATATTTTCTTCAGAAACATCCCTATCTATCAGGGATTTCAAATTAAACCAAATTAATATCACCTTACCCTGTAAGAATGGGCCGCTAATTAAAATCAAAAAATCATCTATGCTGGTACGGATTTGGTCAAGGGAACACTTACACACTGCTGATGGGAATGTAAGCTAGTACAAGCCTGTGGAAACAGTACT